AATTTATTGTATATGGGTGAAATAGTCATTTTTCCATTCCATTATTATTTATAGCCATTGTCTATATTCCCACTAAACTAGGGTCTTTTTGCTTTTTACTTGCTACACTTCTTATTTGGCAAAATATTAATCCTTTTTGCAGTAATGTAAATTTAAAATATGTTGTCTCAAAAGCTAAAAGAAAGGGAGAATAAAGGAGGGTGGAAGGGAGGGGGTAAGGAGGTAGCAAAGGAATAGCATTATGTTCTTAGAATTGTAACAAAGCACACTGAATGTTAAAAACTAATTAAAACAAAAAAATTTTAAAGAAAGAACAATTCCGGGGCCAGCACTGTGGCATAGCAGGTAAAGCCACCACTATGGGCACCGGTTCAGGTCCTGGCTGCTCCACTTCCGATCCAGCTCTCTGCTATGGCCTGGGAAAGCAGTGGAAGATGGCCCAAGTCCTTGGGCCCCTGCACCCACGTGGGAAACCTGGAGGAAGCTCCTGGCTCCTGGCTTTGGATCAGCGCAGTTCTGGCCGTTGTGGCCATCTGGGGAGTGAACCAGCAAATGGAAGACCTCTCTCTCTGCCTCTGCCTCTCTGTAATTCTGCCTTTCATTCACTGATATAAATAAAAAGTGATATGTAAATATGGAAATGCACTTTCTGCCATTTCGTGTAGTAATTATTTATTTTGTATAGTTTTCTGCAAATGATTACTAGTTTTTGAAGTAGATGCAACGGTTTGCCCAGCAGGTTTGCGTCTCAGGCTTCTTGTGTCCCATGACATCAATCATCAAACTCTCAAGAAATACAAAAGTAGTACTTATTTTTGTATGATAGATTCATGTTCATTTTGTGAACTCATCATGGTTTAAAGAGTATCTTTCAAAAAGACAAAAATTAATATTACAGATTTACACTACAAACCTACTGCAGTATTTCAGACTGTTCCCTATAAACCCTTTGGCAGAACCACACACAAAGTATTCTCTAGTTGCCCACATTTCTACTGACCTAGTAACTTGGTGCCTGGGCTGCTTCATACATCTTGAGGCTAGCAGTGGAGGCCACAGCACAGCTGACGCCAGCACAAATGCCCAAGAGCAGCTGAAGTGCACACCTTTCACAGCGCCAGGTCCCTAGCTTTCCCTGTTAGCACACACTGCTTTATAAGCAGGACCTGATGATAAATACTCAAAAGAGAGATGTCAGATTAATTCTGGGAGGAATGGGGCAGGAAGGTTGGGCCATTATCAATCTTCTTGAAGATTTCATTATCAGTTGAAGTGAAAATTCCATTCACTTTATACGTATTTCAGAAACTTTATTAGACAAGTCTATGACAGAAGCTAGAAGTGCAATAGGGAAGGATAAATCCATTCTGACTTATTTAAATTAACTACTGCTAATAACTTATTCATTTTTCAAAATGTGAAAGATGCAAAATTAAACAGGATGCTGAATGGGAAAGGCACAGACTAGAACTATTACATGCAAAACAGGATGGGTAATCTTTCTAACTCACAACCAGGATGCCACACCATTTGTGAAGCAATTTATTTTTAAATAATTAATTCTTCTCTCACTCATTGAAGCCAAGAAATACTCTCATTCTTTGAACATTCAGAAATGTGTCTGGAAACTTATTTTAGCCCGTGGGGTAGATTTAGAACATCATTATGCTGGTCTCGTCACTTTTTAGAACAGGTCAGATCATTCCATCTCTGTGGGCAAAGGCACTATTGTGCATTTACGGTGGTTTAATATCCATTATGTCCATGCTTATAACCATTGTGCTAGGTACTACATTGAAAGATTAAGGTATGGCTCTTCAAACTCTTTTTCTTTTCCTCCATACAGGAGCAGTGAAAAGCTCAGTGGACTGGGACATATGAATTAAGTGCACAAGTCGGGGGACTCTTTCTGATTTAGGATGTTAATCTTTCCTAAGAAGTTTCCTCCCAGAGCCAGCATTGTGGTGCAGCAAACTAAGCAGCCACTTGGGACAGCCACAGCCCATATGGGAGTGTCTGAGATCAAGCCCCACATCTACTTTCCATCCAGCTTCTTGCTAATGCACCAGGGACTCAGCAGATGATGGCTGAAACAGTTAAGTCCCTGCCACCCATGTGGGAGCCCAGATGTAACTCATGGCTACATCTGGCTTTGATCTGGCTCAGCCCTATCTATCACCAGCATTTGGGATTTGGAGAGTGAAGTAGCCATTTGGAGAGTGAACCAGTGAATGGAAGATTCTCTCTCTCTCTCTCTCTCTCTCTCTCTCTGTTTCTGTCTCTCTTCCTCCCTGTATATGTATGTGTGTTCCTCTCTTTGTGTCATTCTGCCTTTCAAATAAAATAAATAAATTTTTAAACAGTTAGTTTTCTCTCAAAAGCTAGAAACCCGACCATAATCTGAAAATAGCTCAATCCTCTACACAAAGACCAACCCTCCTGCCTGCAGTTTCCCTTGTTACTGTCTACTCTAATGCCTCTTCTCACTGAGGAGGAGGGAGGTCCAAGTTTGTGATTTAGAAAGTAGTCTAAACCGGCCTCTGGCTTTGCTTCTGGACTATCAAGGATTATTGGTTGGTAATGGCATTCTCCACAGGGCCCAGCCCAGCTTCCTGGAGTGCTCCAGAAGGAACTGAGTTAAAACACCATCTTGTCATTAAGGAAGACTTTATCTTCTTTTTTTTTCCTTAAAATCTGAGGATGGGTGATAGTTCAACAGCTTAATACAAATTTTCCCCTGTAATTTGACCAAATATTTTTGTTAATCATCAGTAATTTCAATAATACAGAGAAAATATCAAATGAGTAGATTTTACACATCATCAAAGATCAATGGCATATATAGGATAGTCCAAATTCTTCAACAGGGCATTCAAGCTCTCTATAATCTGATCTTCTCTGCACTGTCCAATTCAGTGGCTATTATCCTTATGCAGTTACTGAGTACTTGGCATGTGGTTAGACCAAATTGAGACATCTTGTGAATATACATACATACTAGATTGTGGTGACAGTAGAAAAAAAAGAATAAAATATATCATAGTGTTCATATGAATCATGTGTTGTCATAGTAATTTTTGGATATACAGATTTAAATTAAATACAAAAATTGTTTCTTTTACTTTTTAAAAAAACCCATCTACTAGAAAATTTAAATATCCACATGGCTAGCATTTTATTTCTATTGAACAGTACTGGTTAGATACTGCTTTTTAACTTAAAGCCCTGTTCTTTTTAATTCCTTGGCTATGGGTTTATGTTTCAGAATTTTGCAAATAGAATATTCTGAGCCCATTACACTGTTGGGACAATCATGCTTTACATAGTTCTTCCTCTTCAGTTCTCTCTTATGGAACAAATACAATTCTGACATTTAAAAAATGAGCAGCTAAAAAGCATAGTTGATAAATCATTTCTCTGCAAAGCCATTTCTGTTTCCCAGGTCACTTACTTTGCTCATCCTAAGCGTTATGCCTACGTTCACTAGTGGACTTGTGACATTATGCTGTGATTACTATTTAAACGTGTGTCCATTTACTCACCTACAAATTCTTTGAAGTCAGAAACCATGGCATATATACTTAACCTGGTATATAGTTTTCAATGTATGTTTTATTAATGGAATCAAAGCTTAGCTTTCTATATCCTGTTATTAATTTGAATTATTATCAACATATAATTTGCCATATTACATCAAAATAAAATAATAATGAGAATTACTTATACTAAAGTAGATAAAATACTTTTTTTTTTAAATTAGAGGTGCTGGCACTGTGACATAGCAAGTAAAGCTACCACCTGCAGTGCCAGCATCCCATATGGGCGCCGGTTCAAGTCCTGGCTGCTCCACTTCCAATCCAGCTCTCTGCTATGGCCTGGAAAAACAGTGGAAGATGGCCCAAGTCCTTGCACCCCTGCACCAAGGTCTCCATGTGGGAGACCCGGAAGAAGCTCCAGGCTCCTGGCTTTGGATCGGTGTAGCTCCAGGCATTGCGACCAACTGGTGAGTGAACCAGTGATAGAAGACCTATCTCTCTCTGCCTCTCCTTCTCTCTGTGTATAACTCTGACTTTCAAATAAATAATTAAATCTTTTAAAAAAATTAGAACAGGTATCAAAAAAGCAGTAATAATAGAATGAATTATAATGTTCATAGCACAGTAGAATGACTAGTTAGTCACCCTGTGTATATCAAAAGGCTAGAGGAGAGGAGTTTTGAATGTTCTAACACAAACAAATGAGAAAGGTTTGAGGTTATATCAATGCTAATTACTTGAATTTGATGATTACACATTGTATAAATATGTTGAATTATCATCCTGTAGTCCATAAGTGGGTACAATTATTATGTATCAATTAAAGCTTAAGAAAAATTAGAAACAGAAACTGACTATGATTGCCAATAATTATATAAGCATCATGAACTATAGTTGCAGTTACATAAAAATAAACTAATTTTACATGAAAGCAAACAAAAAATTGTTTTGAAAGTTAATAATTGCCAAAACTTTCTGCATACTTACTTAATATGTATGTGGCATCATACAAAATACTATCTATAGGATGCTTCATCCAGGTTTCACTTTCTACTGTTTCCATGACAGTTTTAGATGTGAGGACACCAAACCTACAAAGGTTAAATGACCTACCTAAAGCACCCTTATAATGAAGTAAATCAGAGATGTAACACTGGTAGTCTGACTCCAGAGCACTTGAATTTTTAAACTTTTGGGGATGAATTATAATATGTGTATCCCAGTAGGCTTAATGACCAATAAAAATGGAATATTTTGTCACATCTAGGTAAATGGATTTTCTTTTTATAATTCAAGCTGGATTCTTTGTTTATAGGCAGGTATCACAAACATCACTGGGTCAATTCTCCGTAAAAAGAATGAAAGACATAGAGAAAAATCTCAAAATACATTTTCTATCAGAATATTGTGTCAGAATGTTAATAGGTAGACTGGCAGCAATAAAACAGGGAACATGGACATTACCTTGAAAACAGCAGAGAAAGCTTTCAAGGTGACTATCGTCTTTGTCTTGAACCAAAACTTTAAAACCAGGGCTCAGAATTTTTCTATTCTCCACTCCATAGTGCTATTTCTGGTCTGTATCATGGAATACTTTTGTCACTGAACTCTCTTTGTCTTCCCTTTCTGAAGTCATCTGAAAGACATTGGCAACAATATCTCTAAAAATTGTTTCCCTTGAGGCGGTATTCAGATAAGGGCAGGCACTTACCTGAGGTCATCAGACAAGCAGTAGGCTTGAACCGCATCTGTTAAATCCTCAGAGATACAGTGCTATCTGTAAAGTTCAAAGCAAAGATCAGGGTCTACCTGCCCTTCAGGTTTCTAAAATCAGCCACTGAGGGAGGAGGAGTAAAAAGGATGTGGAGAGAGAGATGCCACATCTGCAGGTCCATCCCAAAAATGCCTGCATAGCCCCCAGATGAAGTCCAAGCCAGGAACTAGGATTCCAATCCAGGTAACAGGATCCAATGTGGTAGCGGGAACCCATTTTCTTAAGCCATCACCACTGCCCCCATGGTTGTATTAGCAGGAATCCGGAATCAGAGCCAAAGCTTGGAATCTACCCTGGTACTCTGATATGGGATATGGACATCTTAACCACTAAGCTAAATGCCCATAGTCAAGTTTAGCACTCATTGCTTGAGTTGTTTCTGATGCTGTCAGTAGATTAGGTAGAAGCCTCTAAATACTAAAATCTAGCGCTTAAAAATTTAAATATCAATTTTGATTCTCTTAATATTCCTCAAATAAGACATGAGACACTGGCACAGAACTTTTTTCTAAATAACTATAGATGTAGAAGAAAATTAGTTTTTATCTACCCACTTATTCCCAAAGAATTGGCCAATGGTGACTCTCTGCTCTCATGCCTGGATCAACAATTATCAGGAATGTAACACTCAGAGAGGTGTGCTCAACACTTTTTTTGAACACTGACTTGAATAGTCAAATGAAGCATTCATTTCTGCTCACAGATTCAAAGGGAATCCATGGGAGATTCCACATGAAATTAATTGAAAATACCAATGTCAGTAATGATGATCATTTTGGAACTGAGGATAAAGTCATAAAAGATCTGTGTTGGTAGATTAATTATAAAGGGGTAATATGATTCAGATTTCTTTCAGTAGAGATAGGATTTCCTTAAACAAAGTGAAAAGTGTGTAACTTTATCATTAAATATCATAAAAGACAGTGCTATATGGAGAAGGAAATAGAATATCTTAAAGACAAAGAAATAAAATTGCAAAATTTATCAAACTAAAATATTTTTCTATTAGAAAAATCAAAATGAAAATTTATTTTAGTTTCATGCTAGTTCAAGCCTGTGTTTCAGGAAATGAGAGGAAGTACTTTTTATAATTTGGCAAAGAGGTAATATAGCAATATGGCTTAAAGAATTCTACTGAATATACTAAAGAGCATAATTAGAAGACTAATTTGACAAGGTTAAAGTATGGCTCTGCCTTTTAAAATGTATGGATCCAACTTTAATCTTCCCTCTTCCTATATCCTTTTTACGTGCAACTTGTCCAATTCTCTCATTCTTAGACAAACATAGATTTAGAATCTGTAAGCATCTACTAAAAAAACTTGCTTGTTAACATTTTCATAACATATTAAAATGTTTTGGTTTTCTTTATATTTTACAGTCTAAATATGATTAGGTGTCTAAATGAGTACCTAGATACATAGAATCCATTCAATTATTCTTTTCATATTTTCATTTTGATTTCTTCCCCAAAGCCCTAACTGGGCAAGAAGAAGGAGGAACCCTGACAATTCAGTGGGCCCCACTGTGCCTTTCAGGACAGGGCTCTGTTTAACCACTGAGTTTCTATTTATGGGAATTCAGATCTATGTCTAAGAAGTGTAATCCCTCTTTTCCGTTACTTTAAAGTCATACTGCCTAAGATAGACATAGTTTTGTTTAAAACGCTCTCAAAGAAAAGTTGTGAAGTGGGAGTGAAAAACCCGATTTGCATTTTTAAAACTTTTATCCACACTCATATCCTAGCCAACCAAGTTCTCTGCCATTTTCACTGCAACAATTTACTCTCCATATTCATTGTCATACTACAGCATCATCCAAGTTCATAGCAGAAGACTCTGTGTAACACATTTTGTTCAACATTTTTCAATAGCTCTTATTTCCTATCTATAGCTCCAACATTCAGTATTAAACGGGCAGAACCTGCCACAGCTTTCTCAATATCTCTTCCCCTCTGTGATTTGTAAGAATGTATTTCAGATAAATTTAATGAATTTTCAAATATCTATCATGTTAATCATCCTAAAATCATCTTACTCTGTCATAAGGTTCTTCTGTTCCCCCCCAGGAATTAACCCAAGGGGCCACACCAAAGGTAAATGACCCTGTTGTTACACTGAAAGACCCTCCAGAGGCAGGTGCTAAGTGCAGTGCTTAACATGTCACTTGGGGGTTCAGCCTGCTTTGTGGCCCAGGGAGTTCATCAGCCTCCTGCAGCACCATCATCCCATATGGGCACCAGTTGGAGTTCAGCTGCTCCACTTCCCATCCAGCCTACTGCTAATGCACCTTAGAAAGCAGCAGAAGACGGCCAAAGTGCTTGAGTCTCTGCCATCCTCATGGGAAACCCAGATGGGAGTTCCAGAATCTTGGCTTCGATCTGGCCCAGCCCTGGTCATAGAGGTCATTTGGGTAATGAACCAGCAAATGGAAGATCTCTCTCCTCTCTCCATCTCTTCTCTCTCTGTAACTATATTTCAACTAAACCCATAAGTCTTTTAAAAGAAAAAAAATATGTCCCTTGGGACACCTGCTTCCCATAACAGTTACAGAGTTTGAGTCTGTGTTTCACTTCCAATTCCAGATGCCTTCTATTGTGCACCCTAGGAAGCAGCAGGTGATGGCTCAAGTACTTGGGTCTGCGCCACTCACATGGCTGACCCATAGTGAATTCTGGGCTCCTGGCTTCAGCTGGTCCATCCCCACTATTGTGGACATTTGCAGAGTGAACCAGAGAATAAGAGATTCTTTTTTTTTTTCTTTTTTCTTTTCTTTTCTTTTTTTTTTTTCTACAGGCAGAGTGGACAGTGAGAGAGACAGAGAGAAAGGTCTTCCTTTGCCGTTGGTTCACCCTCCAATGGCCGCCGCGGCCGGTGCATTGCGGCTGGCGCACCGCGCTGATCCGATGGCAGGAGCCAGGTGCTTCTCCTGGTCTCCCATGGGGTGCAGGGCCCAAGCACTTGGGCCATCCTCCACTGCACTCCCTGGCCACAGCAGAGAGCTGGCCTGGAAGAGGGGCAACCAGGACAGAATCCGGCGCCCCAACCAGGACTAGAACACGGTGTGCCAGCGCCGCAAGGCAGAAGATTAGCCTAGTGAGCCACGGCAACGGCTAAGAGATTCTCTCTCTCTCTCTCTCTCTCTCTCCCTCTCTCTCTCTCTCTCTCTCTCTCTGCCTTTCACATAGGAAGGAAGGAAGGAAGGAAGGAAGGAAGGAAGGAAGGAAGGAGAGAGGGAGGGAGGGAGGGAGGGAAGGAGGGAGGGAGGGAAAGAAAGGGAGGGAGAGAAAGAAAAAGAAAGACTGTTACCAGTGAATGGCAGGGTTCTTGTCTTTGCACAAGAAAGAATTCAGGCATGAGACAGAGGGAGTGGAAAGTAAAATAGCAAGGTTTATTAGGGAAGGGACATCCATAAGAACGGATGGGCACCTCTCCAGACAGAACCTGAGAGAGAATGCCCAGTTGCTCGGACTGGGGGAGAGCGGGGTTACACGGTTGAGTGGAGAGAATACACCTGGGCAGGCCAGGTGGGCAGCTCAGCAGAGAGGCAGAAGACTGAGCAAGCCCCGTCCAGTTGAGGTGGGGGGTGGGGGGTGGTTAAGGATATGGGTCTTTGTCTTCTCACATCTCCTCCTGAATAAATGGGTGTAAATAAATGGGTGTAAATACTAGAAATTCCCATCTCAGTTTTCCCCCTGAAAGTATCAGACAGATGGAAGCCTAGCTGGCGCTGCCCTGGGTTTAGAGGAAAGGTGAGCAAGACTCCCTGGAGGATAAGGATGGGAGCAGGATATTTGAAATGCAGATGCTGGGCTGCATCTTGAAGATTATCAGGCAGAAGGGGCGGGGACCCCTACCTGGCAGGTTATTGGGTAGAAGGAGCAGGGCAGGATGCAGATACTGGGCTGCCCCTATCGGGATGACTTTGAGATGCATATGCTGGACCTAAATGTCTCCTTAGGCCTTTGTCACACACACACAAGCTCCTATCTGACTTCCTACCTAACAAGAGCAGGAAAATAGTCCCTTAATTAACTCAGAAATAATAAATGTATTTTTTCTTTTGCCATATTAGTCATTTGTGTGATATATAATTGGATTTTTATAATTACAGTCAAGTAATATTTTTATTTGACTAAAAACAATTTGACCAAATTGACTTTATGGTTAGATCATGAGGTTGAATATTTATGAAAATAGTACATATTAAATTGTATTTATATCATAAATAAATACATTAAAGAAGCTTGTCCACTGTAAATAATCTTTAGCCAAGAGCAAACAGATTGTATAAAATGTCACAATGTTTCTCAAGGGATACAATAAAATATATATTAAAATTATTTTACTAAAAAACATTCAGACATACAGAAAAGTACAATAAACAATATAAAAAGTCCATAGATCCATCACCTAGATATGTAATTATTTAGATTTTGGTATTTTTGTCCCAACTTTATTTTTTTAAACCTGTTTTTCCTTCTCTTTCTACTTTGCCTAAATATTTTAAAGCAACTATCAGATGCCACGTTATTTCATTCCTATGTGTCTCAGTATGTTTCCCTAAACTTTGAAGAATTTCCAAATAATTGATAGAAAATGCATATTATATTTTACTTCCATTTTTCCATGACTTTTTAAACATTTTCTCATATAATTGCAGTGCTATTATCACAACCAACAAAAATCTTAAGTAATTTCTTGATATTCTTTCATTTCTAATCTGTTAAGATTTCCTCTTTTTTTAAAATGTCTTTTTTAAGTTAATTTGTTGAAAATGACATTCCAACTAAATATTGTATAATGTGTCCCTTGAGTCTATTGTAATTGAGAGTAGGAACATGGAATTTTTTAGGTCTTTAATTTATCGAAGAAACTGATTTAGTTGTCAAATAAAGGAACTCACAATCTAGATTTTTTTTGTTTCCTTATACTGTCCAAAAATATGTTTCTGTATCCTGTATATTCACAATAAAAAATTGGCCCTAGAGTTTCCAATAAATTAAAATGCACATATTTTGGGAGAGAATGCTTTATTAAGTAACAATCTGACTTATTTTCCACTAATGGTGCTAAGATTGACCAGCCTATTCAGTTGATGACACTTTGATCTTGCCTTTGTAATGTCTCTATCAATTTTCATCTAACACTTTCATCAACTAAGGATTTTTGTCCGAATCAGATTTTTTAAATAGAAGTATTGATCAATTTCTAATTCTATTATTTATTTCACCTCCATGAGCTGAATTCTGTAAAGAACATTTCTTAATTAATTATATCAAATATTTACATTATTGATGCTGAAAAGGGAAAATAATTGCTAATAAATAATTGTCTTTCATTAGCAATCTTTTTAATAACAAGCTTCAATTTGCAGTGATCACTAAGTTTCGACTCAGAGGTTTATGACTGCTGTTATGAATTCAGCTTTTGACATAAATTTCATTTTAAACATATGACCTTCTTGGAAATGGATTACAAGTAAATATGCAAATTATTTACTTTTGCATAATTTATTTAGAATTTAAATAGTGGGCAAAGGTAGAAAAAATCAATTATATCCATTGAAGTCTTGTATTTTTTCTTAAATATAGCTAATCTCTTAAATATGTAAGCCTCAGAAAGCTTTACTTACTGAATGTTTTAATTAAATATACATTTGTATCAATATGAACAATCATTTGTTAATATTTTCACTTGATTAAGTAGCAAAATGGTGTATAATGTTGCAAGTAAGACAGCAACACAAGTGTTGGCCTTGATAAAACAATTTTGTTATAGATTTGATGAGCTTTCTTGTCTCCTTGTTGCCTACTCTGGACATGAGAATCTTTACTGCAATATTCAGGTAGGTTCCACAGTGTCCAGCTAGTTGTCTGAATGTAGCTGCATATGGAGGGAACTTTGACTCAGGACTCCATGATGAGGCTGAAATATGGTGAGAAGATAGTTCAACCTGAAATATGGAATGAAATAGAGTTTCCTATAAATTGCAAAAATGTTCTAATGCAATGGTCAATAAAGAGTATGCAGTGGGATTCTAATATTAAAATATTTGCCTATACTCAGATGTTTATTGATTTATATTGGGAAATTATTAAAAAGTTCCACTTACTAGTAACATTTGGTCTATATTAAGTCTCTCATTTACTTCCAGTGGTACTTTGATTTCTCACCAGTTATATGTTGCTTAAAATCTAATCCTGATTTGTGATGGAATAGAATGAGTTCTTAAAATCTGTCTTGTAAACTTGTTTTGAATAATGATTTTTTAAAATTTGACAATTATCTTTGTCTTTATTCTTATGTAAGTCTGATTGGATATATAACTCATGTCATGAACTGTTGTACTTTATAAGCTTTTTTTCCCTTTGAATCTCTAACATACATAGTGCCCCTGATCATTTGGGACCATGATTACAGAAATCACAGATAACTATAGATCAGCGATTCTAGTGCTGGTCATAATGCCTGGTAAAATCTGTGGGCCCTTCTGAGACCTACTAAATCAGGATTTCAAGAATGAAAGTTGGGAATAAATATGTTCAAAGTGTCCTGGTTCTTCTTTTATGTGGCTTTGAATATATACATTTTTTCCTCTCTGCAATTGATAGCCACACATTAGGATAATCTAAGATTTTCCTGTCACTCAGGAGCCTTGAATAAATTTCCCAGGATCTCCCTTCCTGTCATCATCTCCTTGAAAAACTACATTTTCCCAAACTACACCCCCAAGAAGTAAACTACTTCTATTCCCTTAGTAGTCTTCTTCCCTTATGTAATGCACAAAGTCTGTACTTTCTATTTTAATGCTTGGTATCTATTTCTTGTATTAAAAATCAAGCACAATTTCTCTCAATACCCCTGCCCAATGCAGAAAGCATTGTTTTGGGGGTTCGCCCTAGGCCTTGCAATCTTGAGTTCTTAAATCACAGATTCTAAGTATCTCAAAGAACAATCTGTTTTGACCTATTTTCAAGCAAACTTTTGATAGGTTGTTATGTGCCAAATTCTCTACTGGCTCTGAGAAAATACAGATGAGTTTGTCAATGACCATTTTGCCCCACTGGTCTACCAGGGAAGATATTTAGCCAAAGATAACACACAGCATTATGTAAGGGGGACTGTGGCAATACCAACAAGAGTACTAGAAATAAAAGTTTCTTGCTTTTGAAAGGCCCATGAGTAGGTTTTACAACCCTTTCTAACATGACTTTAAAAACAGTACCTGGGACAAGATCCATCATGGCACAGTGGTTAAGCTGCTCCTTGTACTGTCTGTTTCCAAGCCAGCTCTCTGCACATGCTTCTGGGAAACCAGCCAGCAGATGGCTTAAGTATTTGGGTCTCTGGCACCCACATGGGACCCAGATGGAGTAGCAGGTCCTGGTTTTAGTGTGGCCCAGCCCTAGTCCAGTCCTGCTCCTTGCAGACATTTGGGGAGTAAACCAGCAGACAGAATATTCTCTCTCTCTCTCTCTCTCTCTCTCTCTCTTTCTCTCTTGCCTGCTCTACCTTTTAAATAAATACATAAATCTTTAAAAATGAAAAAATCAGCATCTACAACTGTTTGGTATTGAGAAGAAAGAACCCAAGTCACATGTTTTCTCTCTCCCATTCCATTGTCTTTCTTAGTTATATCTCCCCCTTGACCACAGCCTTTTTCTCTTGTCACTACGCTCAGTTTGGATATCATCATTTTATCACATGTTACTTTATGCCACTTGCTTGTACTTCTCTCTCTTATGTCAGAGGAACAGATACACATTAAATTAAGAAATTATTATAGTATATTTTTTAAAAAAGCAAAAAGAAATAGGATAGGGGAAGTAAGATAGAAAATGGACTATATGTCTATAAGTGAATAACACAAATTTCTAGCTCATAAACAATTAATCTAAGAAACCGTAATTTGGACTCAGACTTCATAGCAACATGCCCATTCACGTGTGCTCAAGTTCACATGCAGCCATTCCCAAGGAAGCACACAGAGCGTCTTCAGCAATCTTCCTGTCTATTGTTAGTCTGGCAACTGAATAAATGATGAAGAATAGAATTGTACTGTATCTCCACATTAGATCACCCAAACCTCATTTAACAGCTATATAAACCTAATAGATTGTTCTGCAAATTAAAGGCCTAAATACTACTGTTAACAGAATACTGCATTCTACTCAGAGCCCTGTGTTTAGTAAAGATTTCTCCACATACTCACCTAAAACTGTATTTAAATAGATGCAACTGGTCCCCTGGGGAGGAATCCAATGTCACTGGTTCAGGACAACAGTGATAGCTTCAGCTTCATTTAGCTTCACTGGTTTGTTTTCTGGAAATAGAAAGAACAGCTAGGATAATACATGAGGAAGTGACTACACAACTGCATCTCCCAGGGAGGATTTAGAAAACTGACAGGCATTGTGTTAAATCTGCCATATGAATTATCACATCAACTGGAGATAATATTGCAGGTGTTGTTAATATCTGGAAAAAATGATGCGTAAGAAAGAAAGAGGGGAAAAAGCTTCTATCAGATAATACCTGTCTTAGTAAAAATAGAAGTTACAGAATTCATAGACTTCTGCCCATGGGCCTTTATAAAGGACATGTGCTCCTCCACTCAGCATTCTCTTTGTGGCTAGATTTTATTCCTACTGTGATAGGTGCAATGACTGTTATTATCATGTGTGACAATACATTTAGATGCCATGCCAGCTCAAGTAAAAATAGCTGGACTCTGTCATAGCATGGCTGTTAAAAGAACCAGCATACTACAAGGATTGCTGTGTGGCCTCAGATTTCACTAAAGGCTTATAATGAGCTGAGTTGGGAAGGGAGTGATGTAATACTGGGGTGTAAAGATCGAAAGTAACTTTTATATATTGGATATGCTAAAACGAAAGATCTGCGTGTGGCTGTGCATGTGTGTGTGTGGTGGGTACCAACTGGTACAAAGAAACCCTCTTGATGATAGCATTGTTTTCCTATAGTTCACTCAAATATATGGCAAAATATGTGATCTCCCAGGAACGCATTTATAACGTACTGTCAAGATCCCAGGGCCAGGGGGACTGTTGGGAAAATACAGTTGCTTTAATCGCCCCAATACATAGACTCTCCCCCAATCACTGGGCTTGTCTTCATTTAAAGTGATGCCAACACCTGGAACAAGCCTGTTAGATTAGCAATATGAGAAAAATTCTTTTCATTCACTCAGCAGAAATATGCCTTGGTAATTAATGTTAATTTACTGTTTTTACTGACAATGAAAACTAGGGTGCATAATAATGTGTACAGATTTAACTAAGGATGTTTATCCTAAGTTTTTTGTTGTTGTTGGCTTCAATTTGTAATAACATTTAACACCTCTCTGAAAGAAGGAAATGGAATTCTCCCTCTTTGCCCCAGTACTTGCTTGTTACTGTCAGGATACAGCAGTAAAAGTGCTCACATTCAGGTGCCACAAACTTCAGAATTTCTCCCCACCCAAGGGTGACAACAGACATATTTTGTTTAGTCTGTCAATAAACTATTGATAACTGATTAGAGAAGACCCATTTACCAATTAGATGAATGTAGGAAAAAACTCATTGCTAGCTCCAGTGGCTTTCTCCTAAGTGTGTCATCATCCTAATGAGTTGTCGCCATGAGGGGCCAGAGTGAAAGAGCACCCACTGCTCATCACATACAGTAAGAATCAGCTCTGCTAACAGACATGCCTTCCACTCAGGTGAATGGTGTCCTCATAGACCAGGCAAAATGTATTCCCCACCCAAAAGAGAAGAGAAAGAACACAACCCTAGCGCAGTAGTGGCTGTTACCCTTGGGGTCAAGACAATCTCCTAAGCAGAGACTGGCTCCCGGAAAGTTGAGGCTTGATTCTCTGCAGGGCCAAAGTCCAATTGTTCTCCAGACTCCACCTGTGTTTGAGGGCCCTTGCGTCCTTGCTAACGTTTTAGAGGCCGATGTCAAGGACTGGCAAACGCAGAGCAAGCTGCACTGTGGTCATGATCTCCTTTTTTGCTGGTTTATTTGGTTTTTCTGTCTAAAGAGCACCACAATACTGTGCTCAACAAGCCTTTAAGAGGCTCCTTCTGTATTTCCACAGGTTCCAAGAGTTAAGAATCAAACTTTAATTTGCTTTGAATAAGGCTAATTACAAGTCTATGTGTTCAGAGGTGCTTGGTTCTTTGGTGTTGAGATGTTCTTTCTGATACACATTCCTCCAGGGCTTATCTTTTATTTCCTGCTGTTCTCACCTTCTCATGTACTTGAGGTCAGATTTATCTGAAAGGGATTTTGGCTTATGTATCTATAATTCTGCCTATTAAATTTCTGTGTAAGAATAGGAACAACGTGTCAGCCTTATCAGTGAAAACTTGACCCTCTTTACCATCAGATTTTCAGCTTCCATTAGGATCATAGTAAGCTAAGCTAAAGGAAGAGGGGGTGGAAATCTGCCTTTATAAAGGTCAGCCTTCTTAATTAAATGAAACTCCGGCAGCAGCCTTAGAAAATGAAGAAACTGTTGCCTGTGCTGTTTCCGAGGAGAATCTACAGAGCATCCAGACGATGCTGCCAAAGGCAGGGCAAACTGAATGATTCCCAAATGGCTAGGGGGCTGCAGCAGGCAACGGTATCTCCTTTTTCTGCAAACAAGTGGAATTGACGATGTGCGGTGGAACAGAAGCTCCGAGCCCTGCAATTGTGCTCCATGACCAGCCCACTTCATTTCACTTTCCTTAGAACTCCGTGGCCCTTTCTGTTTTTACTAACAGCATCGTTCAGCCAAGGCCAGTGTAAAGGAAAATTCACGAAAGAGGTTCTGAACCAGGTACCTTCACATTTGGGAGTTCATTTAAATCCTTTGAGGGACGTATTAGCCTGCCTCTCCTGTCCTAGAAAAGCCAATTGAAATTCAGAAAGGTTAATTATTTGAGCCAAGGTCACATAGCTCGTGAAGTGTAGGCTCTATCAGACTGTCTCCAATGCTGGTCCTCTCTTCATAGGAGATGCTCATATTGCTCTGGTTCCATGCCCACTGCTTCCATTCAGAAACATCCTGTGTGGCACTTGGTGCAAGTCTGCTGCCTCTTGGGATCACAGCACAGGCAGATCTGCCTGGACTTTCAGCCTAGCTCTGTCCTTCCCTGCCTTTGATTCTGTTGTTCTTTTCCAATAGATCCCTGGACCCTTCTAGCTGATCAGGAGCCCCAAGAAGTGTCCATGTGAGTAAATGACGCCAGAGACTTCCCAACGCATTAAGAAAACCACAAATTCTGAGACTGATTGTTTCTAGCTTCTCTCCTTTCGTGGCTGGATCATTCTATCCAGCCTCATAGGACATAGCTCTGGAAAATGACACCACAACATGGCTCTCCATTCCAAAAATTAAAGTGTTCTTGATCTGTGATTGATTGATTATATTTATCCTTGGAAAATACTAAAGTGTGATTAAAAAAAAAAAAAACTATCCCATAATCCTAAAATAGAAAGAATCCCAGGCTCCACTATTTAAAAAAATCCAATTAGTTAGACTGATTAAATCTCTTGGATTTGACGGGCTTTGCAGAAGGTGTTTCTGTTTGGGCCCAGTTGCCACAGTGCGTGACTCCATAGTGCACCACTTTCCTGGAGCCATTGAAATTGGTGTGATGTGGTGATATCTTCCATGGTGATACCTTCCAAAATAAAAAGCAGTGAGGTGACAAGGTTGAGAGTAGTGGTTTGCAATTAGAATTACCAGACCTTTTAAACCAGTGTATGAGTTTCCCTCCAGGCAATTAATTCAAGGTCTCTGGGATTGTATCTAGGCATGTGCAAATGTATTAAAGCTACTGGCATAGAGTATAGAAGTTGGGGACAGGGAACTTGACTTTGAACCCCAGTTATAAACTCTCCAAGCTTCATTTCCTTCATCTGTATAAACAGAGACTATGACTTGTTCTTGCTTCATAAGAATTTGAATATAACGCTTAGCGCTTCTCTTCTAGCTTAAAATGGCAAGTAATGACTATCATTGTTGGTGTTAAAGAGACACAGCGTTGCTGATGTAAAATCTTAATGTCTTTGAAAATAAAAAAAAATAATAATACATTACCACTTAAGGCTATTCTCTTCTCAGAGACTCAAAAGATATGTAAAATGTGACCAATAAGCCTATAACATGAATCAAAGTATAATTCATCCAATCAACCTGTAAAAACCCTATTAAACCCTAAAAATGGAGTCTACTAAAAACTGACTGAAGTATGGCAATGAAAACCTTGCCATGGGAGTTTTGCTTTTGATTGATTTTTCTTTCCATTCTAGTCTCTGCTTGTTCTCATACATCCAATTACTTCACCTCTCTCTCAAACTCTAATCATGAATTTATAGTGACCATTAGTTAGTTACCTCTAGTGATCCCAGGCACTTCAAAGTTAACCTTCTCTTAAGCAAACTCCCTCACCAACTGCAAGCATTACCCATTACACTCAATGGAATCTTCTCAAACATTAATCCTCTATATTCTCTCCAAGGCCAGGGACATCTCTTTCTTGAACTGCTTAACCTACTATTAGCTCTTGATTAATCCTTTTTTTGTGGCAAAAAAACAGCACTTTCTGAAGAACAAATACCCAGAAATCACTCTCTGCATTAAAATATCTTTAACTGCCCTATTATCTACAGAATCAAGCACAAAGTCCTTATTTTTGCATACAAAAACCTTCAAATTCTTGGCTTTAACCAAGCCTTCAAAAATCTTCCCTCTACCCACCCTCTATAAATGTGCTAGCCTGTACACTATTTCACATCACTCTCTGAACATGCCTGTGTGTCTTTTCACATTGTGCTGTCCCTCTGACTTGTTTTACTGTGCCCAAGCTCTTTGCATAGTTACTGCAGACTGACTTCCTAAGCTGAAATCATGTGTCAGCTCTGGTGTCCTTTTCTCAGTCCTGCAAGCCATATGTCTCCTTTCCTCTTCTGGGCTCTCTTTCATAACATTTACTGTGCTTCATAGAATTGATCACGGACATCTGTCTCCCTCAGTACCCTGAGGGCCCCTGGAGAAAACAGTCCATAACTAATGTGCTGGTCATAACTTTTACCTAATGGCGGGGGTTGGGGGTAAAGTGAGTAATTCAGTTAAAAATTATTTCGTTAGATATAAGACTTGCTAGACTGTGCTGGGGATCTTTAGACATTTTAGTTGAGGCAGGGACTCAGACTAAGGATCAATAAATGAACTATTAGACATATTTTATTCAGCATGGATTGGGAAAATACCTGTTGAAATAGAAACTTTTCCCCCTCCCTACCTAAAGCTCCAACACGGGCTGGAAG